CATCACATCGAAATGTACACATAATGCATTATTGAAATCAGACAGCAGTTTTCCACATCTGCGTCCTTTATGAGCTTATCAAATGACGACCATATTCTTCGCTTCAAGTGGGTGTAATGGGGACGATGTAATTACAGACATGCTTTCACAGAGCTGAGTGCTCATGAGATTTAATAAGAATAAGTGAACTTATCACAACACTGTACAAGACCAGCTCGGACTAGAAAACAGCCAGTAATGCACCAGACGGTGGGTGAAAATGATCTACTGCTTACTTTCAGCATTGTTACCTGTGACTGCTTTTACTGTACATGTGAGATCATTGTTTACTTTCATCCTCTGTGTTTACAAGAAAGTAAAATCAGCGGTTTTTCCCACTCCTATTGAGTGAAAGTGGCACCGGTGTGTCTGAGGACGAGCGAAAAAGACTGCGGTCTAAAAACGAAGGGCACAGAGAGAATCCTGAGACAAAGCATTTAACAAGGCAGTGTTCAATACGCAGATGGTGTGTATTGCTGATTGAAGCCAATCAAGGCAGATAGAATGGCAGGCTTTCTTGTTTGTCGAGCCCTAAGAAGATTACTAACCACCGGCCACTGCATCTTATCCCTCAAATCCCCCTCTAACACCAGGCAGCCTCCTGCAAATACAGATCTCATGCTCCTTGTTGCCACCCGATTCTGGCACCGTTCTTCAGCCGGGGTGTCAGAATATAATCAAGACGGCATTAAACACAAAGAGGAGGAAAGGCAGTAACAACCGAGACAAAGTGAGGACTTCGCAAAGCCTGAGGGAGGATTAAAAGATTACTAATGAAACTGTGGTCTAGTAAAAGAGTGAAAAGCATCTAAGATCTACGCTTCTTTTGAGGTACTGTTAAAATGATAAAAGGGGATATTTCAGTCTAACTCGGTTAACACAGGGCTGTCTAAATATATCTGCACCCTTATAAATGTTTTGGCTTTTTTTTTCCAGCTCAGACAAAATTGAATGTCAAAGATAGCCAGAGTAAATAAAAAGAAGCTTTAGAAATTATGATTTCATTTATTACAGAAAGTAGCCAGAAAGTAGCTATGACAACCAAACCTGGTTTTGTGTGAAGAGGTAATGATACTCCCCTGTAAAATCATGAATTTATTGTGATTAAACATGTTTCACAATCCATACTCAGATTTACCATAACAGTACAACAAAAAAAAATCCCTTTATGAGAACCTGGCAACATGAAGTAAAATAAAAGGTCTCAAAATCCTTTCTTTATTAAAAGAAATTCAAGTAGAAGTGAAAAACAAGGTCATTTACATCTGTGAGTCTGGAAGATGACGCAAAACCATAAACATGAAACAGAGGTTGTGTCCAGGAGTAGCTGACCAACCAAAATTACTCCAAGAGTGCATCAACAACTCATCCAGGATGTCATAAAACAGCCTAGAACCACAGCAGGTCTCTCTTACAGCCTCTTTCTGATTCACAGAAAGACTGGGCAAAGTTATAAGGGGGGAAAAAAAGAAAAATTAATATCTGTCTTACATTTGCCAAAAACAAAACACCTTGAAGATCCCAAGAAGTTTGGGAAAATGTTCTGTGGACCATTTAGAAAGAACTGTTTGTAGGGTGTGTGTCCCGTCATATCTGGTGTAAAAGAAAAGCAGAATTTCAGAAATTTTACCTGAAATTAAACGTGGTTGTGGTGGTGTGAGAACCTGAGGCTATCTTGGGACTTCACAATTCTGTAAAATCATCCAGAAATGACCGGAAGTCACAGTTATCAATTTATAACCATCATGCTCATTGCATCACACCGATCTATATGACACCTGTAGGTCCATCTGCTTACTGGTGACAGAGGAGATATTACGCAACAACCACATCATAAGCCATTAATGTTAAAAAAAAAATACTCTGCAACATGCCTGAATTAACACAGTTCTACTAAGAATGGTGTAGAACCATCTCAGGGAGATAAATGACCGATTGCCACTTAATGCAAATACATGATGGCAGTTGCTGAGGCCATGGATGAGATGTTAGGTTTATGGAGCATCTACTTTTGTACAATGAGCCAGACTGGTTTGAAAAGTATTTTTCATTAAATACATAAAAAAAATATATATATATAATTTGAACACTGCATTTACTGTATTTTATGATTTGAAGCACTTCAGTGTAGCAGAAATAAATCGATGATTCTTTTAGATATCCATGTATGTGCACAAAAATGAGCCTGAATGGCTCATCAGAGGACATTAATTGTACATTTCAAGTTCATTTTTACAGATACATTGGGTAACTATGCAGACAACCTGGGCTTCATTAAGCCATCCAAAGTGCTACAGGCTGATAACCTCCATGCCACGCTGCATGAATACATTAATTATTTTAACAGGAGCCCTAATCACAATTTCAGTGCATCGACTGTTCAACGCTTTTCAACAGACTTGACATTTCTGTACTATTAATTCTTCTCCAAGTTGAATCTCGGCTTTTCGCTGCCTAATCTTTTGAAAATTAATGGAAATAAAAATCTGAAGAATATAAAACTGTGTAATGTGTCAATAGTTTGTTTCAATTTTCATTAATAAATTAACATCTCTTAAATTAACATTCAGTGATCTGCACCTGTGTTCAGCTTTTCGTCACATAGGTTCTACATTTTGACGGTCTCGATAACCAAAATAGTTATGCAATATATATATTTTTTATTACACTGATCTGAATTCATATTTTTCAGATTCTATTTTGTTAGAGAAAATTAAAAGAGACTGGCAACTTATCCAACTGAGACGTTAGATGTGGCAAAAACCTTGACAGCAAAAACAATCTTCCCAATTAGAACCGTTGCAGCTCTAAACTCAGCAGAGCATAACAGGAAGAAAAAGAGATTACACTCCGACTGGCAACTGACCAACTCCAACATTTAGGGACCTCTTTTGATCACTGCTAAATGTTTTTTTTCTTCATAACATTAATTAGTGCAGCCTACCTCAGAGGCCCATTGCAGCAAACATGGGCAACTTTAGTTAAAAGTCTCTTAACGCACACGGTTTCCACACGAACACGAGCAAAGATAAGTGAATTAGAGAAGCTTTATAGCAGCCCTCTGTGAGCAGTAAACAGACGTTTATAACTCTATAAAAACCAGCAGAATATTAGAACACTCCAGGGAACCGGCACGTTGCAAGAAGACTCAACCTGCAACGTCTTACATTTGCCTAAAATACGGTACGCCACATAGAATGCTTTGGAAGCAAGTACACCAGAGATGACCAGTTTTTGTCTAACCCAGTTTATTTTTAAATCAGTAAAATAACAGGAAAGTGGAAGCAGAAAAGTAACGCAAAAGAAACATATATATATATTTATATATCTATAATCTTTAACATTCATTTTCTCATTTTAAGCACATCACAACCAAATGCTTAAGTCCAAAAAGTAAAAGAGGTTAAACAAGGTTTTCTTTAAGATACACAAGATTCATTTATTTCCTTGTCATTCTTTCCACAGTCCCCCAAGAAGAGATGTCCAAGGCAACTGTAGCCAATTATTTCAAACACTTTGCTCGCCATAGTTCGGTTTCCTCAGTTACACCAAACCAAGGAGGAGGAAAGAGAACAAACAAACCGAATGATATAATGAAAGATGTGGAAAATAGGAGGAAGGTGCATGTGATGATCCTGCTGAATGAAAATCAAATCTTGTATTGAGGAATATTAATATACTGGTTAACGGAGAGAAACTCAAAGATATCTCACTTCAATGCTGGCACGGAAACTAGCCGGCAGTGAAGAGCTAAAACATGATGTGCAAGACCTGATTAAACAAGACTCCAAAACAGGAACCCACCACTTACCAAAATTCTTCAATACGTAAGGGTGCAAGCCTTCCAGGTTCCTCATTAGCACATCGTCTCGTATGTCCTTATAACCAGCCTTTTTCAATTTTACATACAACAAGCACACAAAAGCCTCATACTTGTTGATTAAAGAGCATGGATTTGAAGAAATGCTTACATGTGAAAGATAAGGAGAGGATAAGCAGATTGGAAAAAAACAAAAAACAAAACATAGCCCCTTCCCAACACTGAAATCTACATAATCCAAGAGCAAGGAGTTTGCTGTCCCCATGTGTCCACATCCGGCACAGTGCAGGTCCTGATTATAGACCGTCAGTGTCCAGAAACTTTTCTTTCTTTTAGTCTACTGTGGCAGAAGCACCTTCAGTTTTAAACAATGTGGAAACAAATGGTTAAATGGTTTTCTGCAGAGCAGAGGAAAATAAAGCGAGCTGGTGGGAGGGCGAGGGCAGGGTGAGCGCCGGAGATCCTGAGGTGGGTGATTAATAGCGGTTTGTCTTTCTGAAGGGGTCAGGGTTGTAAGAGCTGGATGGTCAGTGTGGGTTAGACGTGACTTGAACCGAGGCTGGCTAACTAGCTAGCCTCACAAAGTCCATTCTTGGCGCAGGGTACAAAGATGCTCTGGTCTGGATTCTGAGGTAAAGAGCAGTCTAGAAACAGCGCCAAAGCCAAAGTGTGCAAGAAGTATGACCAATTCTTTCTCCTTTTTCTCCTCCTGATCATTCTTTTTTTTTTCTTTTTTTCTGAGGTAAAGAGTACAGTCTGGTTTCCAACACAAACATAAGAGCTATTTCATCTTGACATCCCTTTATATACTTTCACACCATTCATAGATTTGTAGTCAAGAGCTCATCAAAAAAAAAATTATAATTTCTCTTCTCTAAAATGTTCCTCTTATTGAATGTATTTTACTTGCAACAGGCATCTTAGCAAAAGGGATATGATAAGACCAAGAGGAGCAGGGGAGAACTGAAGAGCAAGCCAATTTTAAAATGGACCAAATTCAGGTTTGTATCCAAAAAAACAAAACAAAAAAAAAAAAACAACTTGTGAAAAACCCTGAAGAATTAAAGAAGAGGAGAAAAATCATATCCCTGTTAGTGCTGAGACTCCGTCTGAAAGCCGAGGCTCCTCTGGGGAGAATTGCTGCTCATGAACACTCCTCCCCGATGCGCTGGCATGAGCGGCCCACTTTACGGTCCAGCTTGACCATCTTGAGCACAGCCTCCTGACGGCCGCGCCCCTGGTGGTCAAAGAGACAATCGTGTTGCTCAGGAAGACGGTGGAGCATGCAGAAGACGAAGCCTGGACAGTAAGGGAGGGGACATTGGTATGAGAGGGAGAAGGTCATTTAATTTACTGCATCAAAAAATAAAAAATAAAATAACAACTGAGCATGTAAAACATACCACAAACAACAGACCATTTTAAACTGGATTTGACTTTAAATAGTTCTGCTTGCCGTTTCCTATTCTGATTCTATTCAGCAGAGAACAATCGTCTTCCTCACAGACTCTGCTGTAGCAATAAATCCTGCCGATATGGTATGCTCAAAACGATCAGAAATTACTGTTGGCTCTGTTCGTCAGAAATTACTTAATTAATACACATTATAACACTGCAGCCATTCAATAAATGGTGATTAAAAGCCCAGTTTGACATCTGGCTGCAACGCAATTAAAACCCGTATGACGACTGCATAAAGGAAGGGAATAGCAGGCGGAAAGTTGGGCAACAATGGGACATAATTTTCCTCCAATCAGAAGCCACACAAGCAAAAATAGCCACCAAGCTCTTTTGGTATTCTAAGCTCTGCTGGTTAATTAAACCTTTTGAAAGTATTAGTGAGCTCATTATAAATGAAGTAACTTTTCTCATTTTGATGAAACATGTCAACAAAGGTCAAGTTTTTAAACATTATACAGCGTTAGATTTGGGTTTACTTAAATATTTAACTTAAAAGAAACAATCAAAAAAAAGCCAAATTAAAAGGCATTGTCTCTGTCACCTTTGACCTCTGAACGCAACACAACGGAGCACTGACTAAGCCACAACCAAACCCTACTGACACTGACTCAAGCTACATAAAATGCATTACTAACCTTTACTACCTTTGCTATTGCTTAAAACACATCGTGTAAATTTTAAGTACAGGAACCCTTTCATTAAATGGTAGTTTATTTTAATTGCTATTGCATCTTTATCAACCAAACTTTTTCCTTCCACACCACTTTCTATAAATAGGTTAGGTTACAGTAATTTTTCAGCAATGATCTTTGTGGCTTTCTTTTTGCAGTGTGTGTAAACGACTAAAATATCTGATGAACAACTGTCAAAGTCATCTGTACGAACATGGCCACAAAGCATTTCTGTATCCAAAATGTATTTGTTTGAATTGCCCCACTATACAATAATTTTGCTTAAGAAATTGGGTTTTCACATCAGATACTTGTAATGCATCTCCTTCTTTGTGTTTACTCTGTTAAGTAGAGGTTTAATTGTTTGAATAGAAACACTAAAAGGAAAATCACAGCTTTTCTAAATGATAAAGATGCGCCTGTATTCACTTAATCTTCCTTAAATACCCTGAACTGATCAGGTAATTATTTCTGTCCAAATATGAAGAACCTGAATAGTGAAAAAAAAAAAAGGTGGGATTCAAGTTTTTTCCTAACTACATTTTTATTCCACTAATTTAAATTGACTCAAGTTACTGCTTCTGGACCCGTAAGTCTGTAATTGCATAATATTCCGAGAGCAACGTGATTCAGAATGATTTTGTTCCTGGGTTTTTTTTTTGCCTCTAATGTCAAAACTAATGAGTTAATTAGCAGTTTAATACCAGAGCCCTTCCCTTATGTCATACTAATACTTAGAAAGATTAATATTAGAGGCAAAGCGAATCGAGCAGATGCCTACAGAGTGTGACAACACTGGATCACTTTCTCTGCTGGCGGATTCTTTTCTCCCCAATTTACAATCTGAAATGCATTCATGCTTTCAACTCATTTTCAGATCCTCTTGGCTTACAAACAGCAGCACATTCTGCCAGGACCATTAGCAAAATAATCTGAAATGACGGCAACAGTCGAAATTACTATAATTGCCACCATTTCCCCTTTTGGTTTCCTAAAAGCCATGTTTTCACAGTAAGCATTAAACTACTAGGAATTGATGACCAATGCACTGGGAAAAAAAGGGGAGAAGTCAATTTCCACTTTAGATATTAATGCACTGGTATAAGGAGACTGATATTAAATAGCAAAGAGCTTTGACTTTTGAAGTACTTTAATTTGTATGCAAACAAGTTGATTAGGAAGCCAAGTATTGGTTTAAACTGCATTAGGGCTTGTGGTAATTGGCTTATGTTTTATTTGCAATGAGAAACATTCAAGCTCTCTGCAGTGGTCCCTATAGGCCAACAAAAGCACAAAAACTAATGGCAGAGCCAAAGCTGAATTGCTCTTCTGCAAATTTTTTAATCCGTAATTAAAACTTTGAGCCAGATGACGTTAAAGTATTTTTCAATCTTTAAGGCAGGTAATAATCAATGCTGTAGTACGCACACACACTTTGGATTTGACCTTTTACCTAAATGAGCTCTCTATGTTAAGATTGCTCAGAAATATTTATCTGTACTTTAGGTAAAGTCAAAGCAAACATCTTATCAATTTAAGTGGTATTCCAAATTTTTAAAAACATATCTAACTTTAAATGCTAAAAAAGTCTAATTTATAATCTTATTTTACTCATTTAGAAATCCAGAAAGCTTTTTAACTATAATTTTCAACCTTTCCCTTTCAGTTTGAGTATTGACTAATTTTTGTTTCTTTTCCAAAGGAATTTTAATCCTGACAATTAGCCAGAAATCCCATAATTCTAGTTTCAATATGTCATTCAAATCACTTGCTGCAAAGGTACAAAAAAAAAAAAAAGACACATTCATACTGATCCTGTATGCGCTTGATAAATGTGTTAATCAGTGTGTTCAACTACGAATGTACCTAGATGGATCATATTACTGATAATGTCATCATACCACAGCGACAGGAGCCCAGTTCCTGCTGTACCAGCTCCAGTTTAGTTTGGCAGCGATGGCAACGTTTGCGGCTCCGCTGTTTAGAGCCGCTGCGAGAAGAAAATGGCGAAGATGACAATGATGATGACGACGATGAACACTCCTCACCCTCTGGGACCTCAGCCACCCTTGCTCGCTTCTCTGGTGAAGAGTCACTTTCTGACTCTGAGGCTTAAGACACAGGAAAATGTGCACAGATAAAGTAAACAAATTAAACAATTGCACAAAAAAAAAATTACGGTTAACTGCATTTCCATGAGTTCTTGGTCATATTTACAGCTAATTTTGATTATGTATAGTTAGGTTTAATGCTGCTGAAAAATTTGTTAAAACTGTCATTATGTCCTGACAGTGAGACAAATAATTTATGAAAAAAATGAATAATTGGTGGCAGAGAAACAACTTAATATTACAGAAAAATAGAACTTCTTACAATCTTGACAAGCTCCGCTGCGGGGGAGGAGCTGCAGCGTAGCAGAGGAAATGGCGGAGGGAGTTGTTGTTCAAATTTTCAGGCTAAGCTTATGGTTTTCTCAAAACTCCCTGCTGCAGTTTTAAAAGTTGAAGCACATAAAAAAGCTGCATGATGACCAAAACAAGTAAAGATTGACCTGTTTTCTGGAAGAGATTAACATATTTGAAGGTTGTTATCCAATCTAAAATGGTTTAAAGATGAATTAACAACTATTTACTACTGAAAGAGGGCAAAATGCTGGTTTGGTGTCAAAAAAAAAAAAAAAAAAAAAAAAAGAAGGGGGGAAAAAGAAAGATTAATAGGTCTCCTGTTTTAGATTACATGCCCGACATGAGGGACAGTAGGAGCCTGTAGCAAGCTTCCGCTGGTTGGCTAGAATTTCAACTCAGCTTTTCTCATCAATCCAGCAGACTTTTTCCCCAGCCCTGCCAAAATGCAGATCAGCACTCAATAAATCTCTGAGAACTAGGCCATGCAGTGCAGTCAGACATCCCCCTCCCCGTCCCACTAGCCTGTCTCATCGATCCCCTATATATGCGAGTGTGTGAGTCTGTACATGTGCAGCTTCAAGCTGTGAAAAACGGCATCCTTTCTCCCTTAGCCTCACTATCCTTGTATGTTGCTGTTAACCTATATGGGTTAAAGCAATCTTACAAGTAATTTAAATTAGAGTCAAAGTTAGGCTAAACAGCTTTGATTTATTTGGATCACACACAATAAAGAAATGTGCAAAAACAGTGCAAGTGGAGGTTTTAAACATCAATACATATAGGCCTGAAATGATGTAACACGTGAATGTGTGTTTAACCCCAACACTCACATGACTCTGTAACTTTAGACAGGAGATCAGCACATTCACACACAGCGGGGAGAGACTTGCCTACTTACTTCACAGCTGTCTTAGATCATGTCACGTTGTTTTGCCTCTAACTTACAGTGGCTCTCAAAAGTCTCCACACTTTGGTAATGTAACCCACACACGTGACTTTTATCCTGTGCAATTTAACTGAATACATAAACTTATTTGGGCAAAAATAAAATGCAATGGTGAAATGGTTGCGTAACTTTGCACACTTTTGAACTAATACTTTGCTAAAGCAACTTTGATTCCAATTTAGTGCACATCCGATTGAAGTTTACTGAAGTTTTACAAATCTATCCAGTTGTGACCTCCCTTGTCCTCTTTTGAAGTCACCGTTTGGTCAGCTTGGATGTATCCTTGTGCCAACTGTGTAGCTAGAAAATATTTTAATTGTTTTGTTTTTTTTTAGCTTTCTTGAAGACAGGAAGCCTTGTGCCAAAACAGACTGGTATATGGAACTATAGTAGCCTCCTCCACCGAGACAAAAGAGAAAACAAAGTAACCCCAGAGCATGATGCTACCACCATCATCTTTCAGAGCTGGCACGGTGTTCTTCTGGTGAAGTTCAGTGTTGTTTTCTGCCAAACAAACATTACAAAATTGTATGTCAAAAGTTCAAACTTAGCTTACATTCTCCCTCAGGGCTTTGGGAATGTTTAGTCATTTGCTCTTTGGGGAAAAGAATTACATATTTGTAAAGTACTCTAGAAAAATAATATAGGCTGTTGTTACATTCAGATAACCAGCTCTTTTTGGAAATTCTTGCATTTCCTTCAATGTTATTGTCAACTTCTCTTGTTCAGTTTAAGTCTTCTTTTCTTGTCAGAAATGTCTAATTTTGTAATGTCCAATTTTTTTCCTTGCAATATGGTGTGTATAAAATGCTGTGGAATATTTTGTACCCTTCTCTAGACTGAGGAAATTGTACAAGAAGTTCCTTTACTTCCTCTCCCTTCTGAGTTTAGCGAAAGGATGCAAACGAGCAAATTCAAAAGGCTCCTATTCCTACAGCTGAACTTTACAGCTTTAATCACAATGACTAATGGGAGGTGTGAGCTCCAGAAGACTGGAGTAATTTTGCATTTTTTACCTCAAAAATCTGTTTATACAGAATATTTGTTATATAATATTTAGAATAGGTTTCAAAATGATTATGGAATAATTTTATTTAATATTTCTCAACAGGTGGTGCACACTTTTGAGAGCCATTGTAGTTTGTGTCACTTTATGTCTGTCTGTGTTGTACATCCTGGCTACTGTTCCAAGTGTCTTTGCCCACACTAGCAAACAAGTAGTTAGCTTTTGTTTGCCCATTCTGCATGATCCACGTATCCTTCCCTTCAGAATACTCCCAGGAATAAAACAAATCTCTTTTGGGTCTATCCAATGCCTTTGATCCTGCTGGGCTCTCAAAAATCAGCTGTGTAAGTGAAAAGAACAAGCGAGTGGTAAAAGACATAACAGAACCAAGGCATACCAGATTCGTATGAGCGCTTTGTGGGGGTGGAAAGTGAAGCCAAGACAGTATCTGTGTTGGATAGTCCTGAAAAACAGACAATACAAGCAAAATGGGAGCAAAAATAAGAAAGGGCAACAATTTAAAAAAAACAACTGAATGTGATGATATTATTTCCTCCCTCTTAAGACTCAGTTTTGCTGTCTTAGATCACCGTTTTCTTCTGTCTGGGTTTCTAAATTATTAATAGAACAGAGATATTTCACTACATTATAAAGATTCAAATGAAGCAGAGACAGATGGGTGCACTACTGGGTTACACTGAAAAGCTCAGTTTAAAATCAGAAAGCAGCATAAACAAAGGCTAACAGACATTTTGCCCATGGATACTCTTGTACCATTTTCCACACAGTACCAGCTAAAAAGACCGTGACTCTCCAGTGTGGAATCCATTATTTAAGCTGTGAGGTGTTTTGTTTTTTCACACCAGCTATGATGGATAGCTAACAAAAGATGCTACAGCCTCCCGTGAGCAGATTGAAGCCAATCCACGGGTAGGTAAAAAAAAAAAAAAAAAAAACTTTCTATAAGAGCTCTACATAATATTTTTATACAATCTATAATCTGCTATTCCAGTTTTAAATCTCAGAAAATTTTAACCTTTCAGTGAACCTTTTACATAATTGACTCCTTGTTCTAAGGAACCCAACAATTACACACACATACCAGAGAGAAAAACAACAGTGACACTGAAACAAGTTAATGGCAATGAAAAAAACTACTTTTTTAATCACATAAACTGATATAATTTGTGAAGCTAAGCAGATTAATAAACTAGCTTCAACAGAATTTTTTTTCAAAGATAAAAATATATTTGCAATGTATTGCATGAATCTAATATATGTTCAAAATTACTCCTGCAGTTATTTCACAGTTGACAAGGTTATTGAGATGTTTTTTTTAAGTTCCACACATCAATTTTACTACTGCTACTTTGCTACTTTTTTTCACCTGTGCCAAATAGACCTCTACAAATAAACTTGTCATACTATAGGGATGACGGATGCCAGGGCAATTGTAGGTGTCCTATTTGGACTTTTGCTTCTGAGAAGACATCCTTTACTATCACTCTGTTAGTGTCTATAAGGACAAGTGGAACTTGCTTCTTCGGCAGACATAGCAATCAATTAAATTCTACAATACAGATTCCGTTCAATAAAATTTAAAATTGTGTATTTTAACTCAGTTTGGGTGCTTTAGTTCTCTTTAAACGGCTTATATCACCATTATGCATCTCTTTCGATGCTTTGTGCATTTTTGATAGGTTAGATTTTGACACTAGTTATAATTTAAACCAAAATGATGAACAAAAAGATGTCAGGAGAATGGAAGTACACCCGCCCAAGGTTATCTGCAAAGGGGGCAGAGCAGCGGGAGGAGTACAGTCTAGTAGTACACCCAAAAGCATAATACTCTTCTGGGATAAAGATAGGAGGATAATAACTATGTAAGGATTTTTTTTCTTTTTTTTTTCTTCTGACGAACCAGGAGCAATTAAGAGGATGAAAATGTTTGAAGACTTAAGAGTACAAGAGACACAAAATGAGGAAGATTGAGCCGACTAAAAAGATGAGTCTTAGCAATCCAGATTGGAATGTTGTGCCATTTGTAGTAATTTTGGTTATTAAAGTAAGATGAGTGTTTTCAAGGTGTTTTGATAGAAATTGATTTTCTGTGGTGTCTATATGCTTAGAGACATTTTCCTAGCAGGAACCGAATGAAGTGGATCTCTGAGCTAAAACCAGAATCAACACTGGAAAGGAAGAGATGCTGCTTTGGCATCGGTCTGAACAGATCCTGACTGGTTCCTGTATATTCACAATATGGTTTTGTTTTCCCACAAAAGCCGGCAGCACAGGTTTTGGCACATTTCAAACAAAACAAGCAAGCAAACAAAAAATGTTTTTATGAGTTTGTGCTGAAAAGCTCGTTTTCCATCTGTGGTCAGGGAGAGAGTTTTCACCATCTGACTCAATAAATTTGTGTTTTTGACATACCCATCTTTGTCCAGTCTTATCCTTATGTCTCAGAAAACCATATTAAAAACTGTAATAAAAAGCAGCATATTCCAGGAAAAAATTAAAAACAAAATCTTTGGTCTTACCATTCTGAATATGAACAGATGCCACTCCAGTCTCTCCTGGCGAAGGTTCTTCTGAAATGTTGGATCTTGACATCAGGGACTGACTAATGCTGTTTGTTTCAGTACAGAAGATGTCCGTTTGACTGCTGCTGGTGCTTGAGGAGGTCTTTGGGGCACAATCTTCGTTTGGCTGTTTCTTCTCAGTGTCTATGAAGAAATTGGCAGGTTGAAATGCGTTTCCTTCTTGTCCCAGTCTACTTATTCCAAAAGAACTTTCATGTTTTCGAAATTAACAGGGCAATGTTTCAAATATGTGTGGCACAGCAATGCATCGTTGGATGAAGAAGAGAACTGAACAGATTTTAGGTTAAGAGCCAAGACTCTCTGGCATGTGATTATAACTTGAGCAAGGTGAAATTAAAAGGTTCCGGAGATAAAATACCCTGAGATGCATAAATATGAATATTCTTTTATACCAATATGTAATTTTTGGACATACTAATGACCAAGTTTTAGTAATCAGAAAAAACACTTTTTAATTAGTCAGTCAAATGACATCTTGAGATTATGTTTTAAAAACTAGCCTTTTATTTTATTGAGCATTTTATGAAGAAATACTTGAGACCTTTTAATCCTGCAGTAGATTTTTTCTTCATCACATATTTACTAGCCTATATGCGTGAGTAAAAGTTACATTTTATGACATTTGCCCAGACAGTGGTCACCAAGTGCTTCACAGGAAAAGTACATTCAACAAAATACGCAGCAATCAATGCACAATACATAAAATGAATACAATAAAACCATAAATGCACATTATAAAAGCTTATATAGCAGTATCTGTGAAAACTGTAAAAACATATTTTACAGGCATCGTTAATACAATACAGTCCAATCAGCTTGTTTTCCTGTGTAAACTCGTAACAAAGCTATTTAGAAGACCGCATAAAAATATTCAACCAAAACTGCTCACCACTTTCTAAAATGGGAAATTTATTTACTTAGAGACAAGTAGCATTAACTCGACTTGGTGTACTCCTCATTTAATACAGTAAGAGGTAGAATGTACCAGGCACAAATTGATAGATGAGAGTAACTTACCTGCGAAACATTTAGAGCAGAGATTCTTAGTTTTGCTCGACCTGGGGGGATTACAGAACACTTTGTTAATGACATCTTCAGTGGTTAAAAGTGAAAAATAAACAAACACCTGAGGGCTAGGATTCAGTTTTATGGAAGATAGCAAGTCTAATTGATCAAGCCGTTAACCAAGGTCTGCTTTGCAACAACAGGCAGTCTCTCTCTTCAAGACCAGAATGTAAAATGTCCAGCAGCTCATTGAAACCATGGCCAAAACAAGAAATTAACTAAATAAAATAATAACAAAAAGGCCAGAGAAGACAATGGAGTCTTGGTGGGTTAATGAAATAAAATACAAAACAGTAACAAAGTAAGAAGTAGAACTGAAATACAAAAATTAAGTAAAATTAGTATTTATTTCCTAGACAGGTTCAGTATTCAGGTTACAGGAGAGCAAGAGAGAGCAATATTTTATGAGATATCAGGAAGGCTGAAGTTATTACAGCAAAGTTACATCAGAGTTTAAAACTTTTTCACATCCAACTTTTCTCTGTGATGGAACATGCTGGATTTGAAAATGCGGGAGGCCTTTTGAAAATCTCTAAATTAAGGTAAAAGTCTACATTTCTTCGGGAATATACAGAGTATGAAGTTTATAGTTAGCAAAGCTAATAATAATTAATGTTATCTTTTTAAGACTCTGTACCCCCAATAGGAATCATCAACAGAAAAAAATAATAATCTTATATGCTTTTTTTATATTATTTTTAAAGTGAAAAGAGAATTATTTAAGATTATTTGTTTTATAAAAACAGGAACTTGGAAAATTAGGCACAATACTTTCATTATGGAATCTCTAATCAGCAGTTATTTCAACATTTAATTAAAACTTTACTCCTAAAATCCCATTACTTACTTCCTCACAGAGTAATCTTAGAGCAGCAAATGCCTTGAATTATCAATTATCTTCCAAATAAAATCAAAAGACACCTAGGACACAGTTTTGGCAAGGCAGACAGCTCACTTAACAATTGTTTAAACAATTTGATCGTTGCTTTTGCAACAACTGTTAATGAAAAACCTCAAATAACCTGACCTGTTCATGAACAACAAATGCATTTTAGTTTTCTAGAGCCCTAAATGTGTTTCTTACAGTCCCCAAGACAAGGCTCTTCCTTCTCATCTTAAAACAGATCTTAGAAATAAAATAGCTATTGTTACAGAGTGGAGCGGCGAAGCCTTGATGGTTTCAGTAGCGCAGCTCTTTCAACAGATAGCTCTAGCTTCCTCCTGAGAAGGCTCTTCTCATTTCCTCTCCGGCCGTCGTCCTGACTGTCTGTGCACAAAGTGTGACGGTCGCTGCTATCAGTCACATTCTATTTATTTTGGGCGCTTCGTTGCACACCTTTGTCCTCGTTTCTAAAAGTAGGGTCAGCTGCAGTCAACCAGAGGGGATGGCTGGCATTTTCTAAGTATGTATAGTCTTGAGTTTGAAACAGAAAAGAGGAAACGAGAAACTAGGATGAACCCTAAATCTCATGCATGTAGAGAGCATATAACCCCCATCGTTCTATTAGTCCTGCAAATGAAAGGCAATCAAACCACAGTTTCATTAAGAAAGATTGGAATGAAGACAGGTGAGAAATATGCTGAAGCCTAAATAAAGTCTGAAAAGAGTGCAGAAAACCTGCGTTTCACCACTGGCCCAGTGCTAACAAGAATACCTAATTAGTAAAGATTCTGTCATCTCCAGTTTAAGTGACACAAAACTGCGTTAAAATTGTTAATGTTTGAGGAAGTCTGATTCTGTTAAGGTGGTACTGATACAATTAAAACTAAAAGATCTAACAAAAACCTTCTAAAATACCTACCAAGGACATTGTGTCACCTGTGAAGGAGGCTAAATTATTTAGAGTGATGGTCTATCACATACAGGAACTAAGCTGGATTTAAGTCACAAGGGAAGATGAGACCATAAATAATGTACTACTGTGCCACATTTGCAGTGTAAAATTATTCCTTTTTACAGTTTCCACAAAAATGATGAACAATAATTAGGAAATTTAATGCTAGACTGCAGCATTAATTGTGCACCATTTTCTGCAGACAGAAAAAAAGCCATCACAGAAAAATTAGGCTGACACCTTTGGTCAAAGTATACAACAGTTTAAAGTCACAGTTTCAAACCTGCAACATTTTTCAGCAACGCCATTCCTGTGGTTTGGACGCTTTCTATTGAGAATGCAGAGACAAAGTAGCTTCAGCATAGAGCACAGCACCTTTTAGTTCACTACCTAGCCAAAAGCTTAATGTAAGATTGCTCTAAATAATTTACAACAAGCATTAATTTTACAACTTGAGAAAAATGCAAAATTCTCCTCTCTAAAAGGAAACCAGATGAAAGAAAACACACCCAGCTGCCATTCTGTCTGCTTTTTCTCCAAGCTGGAAAAACCAAAATGAATGAAAAAAAAAAAAAAAAGATTTCTAAACATTAGGAGAAATTAGTGAATGATCCATATAACAACAGCTCATCTGGTGTTGGTTAAAGTCAGATTTATTTCTATATATTTGGTTTATGATGGATAATGACTTTAACAGCTGGGAGGTGCATTAGAGCTATTAGATGAACATTAAACTGATTATCTTGACTAGAGCCAGTTTACGAGAGTTTTTGTGTTTCTTATGTATGCTCACTTAATCACAGCGCTATTAAACAGAGAATAACTCAATCACAATCAAGCAGATAGAAAAATAGTCAACTTTATTATTACTATTACTCACATTAAATATATTTTTATATAAAATATTTACACCACACTTCCTAAAAATAATTACTGAATCAAATCCAATTAAAAATCCTAATATAAACCCACCTATTTTACAATGAGTTCATACATTTCTAATCAGCACTGAAGTGTACCTAAAATGATCAGTTTTAAGTTATGACTTAATTCTTAGATGACCAGCTACAGCTATACATGGCGACCTTGAGTGAGTAAGAGTTTGACAAAACGGCACTAATGGGGAAGTCAAACGTTAAGGCAGGCAAGCTGAGTAATGAGTTCCCTCATTTTAGACAGTAATCTACAATAAGGAACATCTGTTTTACGTCTTCAGCATTAAAAGCAGATTACATGGCATTACTAGAAATCCCATTTATCTCTCGTTCATTGCCCACTTGCAATAATCCTTCTGACAGCTACTCAAGCGACCTGCATGTTTCTCAAACAGTAACAGCAGTCTGAAGAACCTAGCACTTTGGTGCCATATTCAGAAATAATGATGAACATTCAGCTTAGCCTTCATATTTTCCAAAGTTCCCATGCTCATTGGCTGTGTCTGCAAAACTCTTGATTCTGACCACCCAACTCTTTTGTCTGCCTAATGAGGACAAATTCTTCACTTCCACCAAATACTTACAGAAGTACTGGCTCACGACTTTTTGTTTCGGTTGTAGGGGAAATGCATTCCAGTTGGACGAAAGAATGTCAAACTACCTGCCACAGAAGTGATGTGGCTAGAATGAATGTTGGAAAAGTATACCTCTCTACCACATGAGAGAAATTAAATCTCAGAATGTCAACCAACCTAAAAAAAAATATCAAGGCAGTCAAACTGTCTGCACTTGTATTATGTTACTTAGCAAGAAAACTCTTTGGAACTGGGCCTTTTATATGTTTCAATATACTTAATCTAACTGTATTAGACTGAAGCAGTTGGAAAAACACATGACAGACTTTAAATGTATTTATCTTCATGTGAATATAACTGATTAAGATTCCGTGTAGTGCCTTGACATAATTTTATAAATTGCAGTTTTCTGAGTTGAGGGTTGCATCATACTGCACACTGTTCAAGTAAAAAATTTAAACACCAACTCATTTTGGAGCAACATTTTTACTTTTTTACAGCAGTTTGGAAGCGGGGCTCGATTCTAAAATCAAGCAATACGTTCAGAGCAATATAATGTTTTTAACTTAGTTTTAAATACATTTATAGTATTTGCACTGCTTGCAACAACAGTTGTCCAAGTCCAATCTTTGAGAACTACTATCCTGGAACTTTAGATGCATCCTTTCTCCGACACATCTGAACTACATGGATGGCTTGTTACCAGGTAACTGCAGAGCGAGCTGAAGGACATACTGATGAGGGAATTCAGCTTTTTCATTCAGGTAGCTCTTGAGGTATGAACTTGAGCAGCCAAGCTCTATAGCTGGGGTCTTCAAATCCGGGCTGGTATCCTACAACTTTTATGTGCTTCTCTGCTTCAACACACCTGAGTCAAATAATGAGGTCATAAGCAGGACTCTGGAGAACTATGCGCATACTGAGGAGGTGATTCAACCATTTGATTCAGGTGTGTTTCACCAAAGACGACACTAAAAGTTGCAGGACACCAAATAGTGAGGCCTGGATTTGAGGATCCCTGCTCTACAATATGCAAGATACTGTTTTGTTAAACTTTGTCAAACTGTTAATAATTAACACAATTTCAATTCAGGCATCCATAACCTGGATGCTAGTATCAGTAGGTCCGTGGATACCCTTTTTCTCCACGTTTTATCTCTTCAATAGCAAGTACTTACATGCTAGTGTGGGTTAAAGGTTTGAGAATCTCCACTGATAAAGTAAACGCACCCAAAATAAACTTATTTACTTCCTTTTACGCTGAAGAAGGTTGTCAAAGGGACCTGGTCTTTTTTAGAATAGAATTTTAAAATGAATCTCTGAATTAATATCCTCACATACCCTAAATGACCTAATTTGGTAAATAATCCCACGCTTTCCTTGCTTGGGGAAGAAAAAAAAAAATCAAATTGAAAGGTCTAAAATTATGAATGAGGTCACTGCATTTTGACTAATCATCTTCAGATGTCTCCAATAATAACTCAAAATACCAAGAGTAATTTTTAAATGTATAATATTTAAATACAATAGTGCATATAATAATAATAATAATAATAACCATTATTATTTATTTATAATTCCCTTTAAGACTTGAGATATTGATGGGATAAAATTCATTTGGTTAATTAACATTATTTCAAAAGGTGCAAACATCTCTCTATAGTCTCACAACATATCAGATCAAATACCAAGCAATAAAACCTAAAAAGAATTTTTGGAAGCCCTAAGAAAGTATATTTTATGGAGCCAAAGGTTTGAGGAAGGATACAAATATATTTCAACAGCAATGAATGCTCCGAAAACCACCACGGTCTACATTTATCAGAAAAGGAAGAAGTCTGGAGCCATAAAGAGCCTTCCTAAGTCTGGCCGTCTGACCACACAGACTAAATGGGGAAGAAAGCTTTGGTTAGAAAGTTGACCAAAACTCCAATGGTCCAATAAGCTCCACAATTTCCTTTGTGGGGATAAGAGAACCATCAGCAAAGGCTAACAATCATGCGGTAGTTGATTGATTGGTAGTTGCCAGAAAGAGGCCACTCCTCATGAAAATATTGCAGATAACTTGAAAATTGCCAAGAACAACTTTAAGGAAGTCAGATCAGGATGAAAATTATTATCTGGTCTGATAAGGCCAAAAAAGAACCTCGATTCCAAGTTTATGTTTGAGAGAAAAAAAGACACTGGCAACCACCACATCCTGTGAAGCATAGTGGTGGCAGTGTCCTGCACCAGGGATGAACTGGGCAACTCGTCCACATGAGATACAGTATGATCACAGAAAAAAAAAATCATGAAATCCTGCACCACTTTGCCCTGGGACTGAGACTATTTCAACAATTCATCTTTCAACCCCACAGTTAAGATAACAAAGGCGTGACTTTAGGAGCAGTCTATGAATGTCTGTGAGTGGCTCAGCCAAAGACTACACCTAAATCCAATTTAACATCTCTGGGAAGACCTAAAAATGGCCGTCTACTGACACTCCCCGTCCAACCTGAATTAGCCTGAGAGGACCTGTAGAAAAAAAAAATGTCCCTAACAGGTGTTAATACTGGATTAATAAACATTCAACAAAAATATGCAAATATAAGCTCTTTTTCGTCTTTGAGAAATAAATGTAAAAATATGTGCCAAGACGGAATTATGTTTATTATTATTTTTTTGTTGAAAAAATGGAACACTGCTGTGTTTTCACTCATGGTCTGCTTGACAGCCTTCCAGTGGGTTCACCGTTTGCTACATGAACACCGTGTGTTAACTAGTTCCCACTGTATTAACGCTGTCCCACCTGAAACATTACATGTAGGACTTGTCGCACACTTACCCTACTGTCTACCTTCACAAGCTAACGTTACTAAGGCCAGCTGCTGTTAGCTAGAAGCTAATGCTACAAAACAATGAGGAGGGGGGTAATGACAAGAACGGCAGCTCATCTCTGTTAGAGTTGCTAATGCTAGTAGCAGTCGACTTTGCTAACAGTTGGGAAAGAAAGATACATTGTAAAGAAATATATTTGAGGAAATTTTCTGGCTTACCCCCAGAACCCGCACGGGCAGCGCGGGGGTAAAACGTTGACGTTGCTTGGACCCTTGCTACCCTCGCTCCCGGTGTCCCCCATATCGGACCTCCGTGACAAGCTGTCGCGTAGCAGGTGAATCCGTGGATGGAGTGAAGGCCTCCTGTTTGCGCTCAGCTAGCCCCGGCTTTAAAACTCCCTACTTGGGTCGAAGTAATTATTAAGAGTTTCAGCCGAAAATGAGTAGCTCTGCCGACACGAGCGGCTTGTGAACACGTAAAATTAATCCAGTCTCAGTGGGTGTCAGGGCCCGTCAAAGCCGACGACGGACAGAGCCACTGGGGACGCTGGGCCGATCAGCTGGAGAGAGGAGCAAACCACTGGAAGAGATGGGAGGAGCGGTGAGTCGCTGTAGGAACTAAACTTCAGCTCATGTGTCTGTGCCGAAGAGTTTCAATAAAAAGTTGTGAGTTTTTTAATTCAACTCTTTGATTATTCACTAAAGGTTTTAAGTTTTTTCGAGAAGCTAAGTTTTGGTATGATCCCTGACTGTGATCGCGAAGGTGATTTCTTTAAAGAGCCACGAATAAAGAAAGAATACAACTTTTTTCAGCGTTTAATCATGAGTATTCAGTATATTAATCCAGTAATTTAATTGTTAGGAAAACCTATTAATTGCATTAGGGTGCCACCCAGGAAACATATTTAATTAGACACAAATCCAGCCATAGAACAGAGATATAACTAACAGTGTTTTTCATTGGGAAGACCTCTGACTTGATTGACAGATGTCCAAAAGACAGTCTTCCACTCGTTCAAAAAGAGAATAAGTCACAAAAGGTAATTGCTGAAGAAGCTAGTTATTTGCAAAGTTCTGTATCAAAGCATTTTTAATAGAAAATTGAGTGGAAGGAAGAAGCGTGATAGGAAAAGGTGTGCCAGCAACAAGGCAAACTTCCAATTTGAGAGGATTGTCAAGCAAAATCAATTTAGAACTTGAGGGAGTTTGTCAAGGAGTGGACAGAGGAGTTATCGCATCAAGTGCCATCACACAGAACAACGAGACATGAGCAGCAAATGTCGCAGTTAAGTCACTCTTAAACCAGAGAGAACATCAGATACATCTCACTGGGGCTAAGGAGAAAAGGAACTGAACTGCTTCGCAATGGTCCAGAGTCCCATTGTAGTAAATTCTGAAATTCATTTGGAAACAAATGTTCCAGAGTCTGGAGGAAGAGTGGAGAAGCACAGAAGCCACATTGTTTTAACTCTATTGTGAAGCTTCTAGTCAGAGATGGTTTGAGGTACAGTGTCATCAGCTGGTGTTGGTTCACTGTGTTTTCTGAATGCATCTGTCTACCATGAAATTCAAGAGCATTTCATGCTTCCTTCTGCTGACAAGCTGTATGGAAATGCTTGTTTTATTTTCTATCAAGACTTGGCATGTGCCCACACTGCCAAACATAACAAATCTGGTTCAGTGACCACGGTGTGCCTGTTTTTGATTGGCCAGCAAACACACCTGACCTGAACCTCAAAGAAAATATATGGGCTCTTGTCAAGAGGTAGATGAAAGACACCAGATCCAACCAGGCAGATGACCAGAAGGCAGAAATCAAAGAAATCTGGGCTTCCATTACAACTATGCAGTACCACAGGCTGATCGCCTCAATGTCACGGATGTAATGATTAATGCAAGAGGAAGTTCAACCAGGTATTGAGTGAAGAGAAATGTACATACTTTTAAGAAACCTAACATCTATGCTTAAATCGCAATATGTGATTGTCAAATTTTTTGAGGCACTGAGATTTGGGTTTTCTTCACCTCAAAGCCATAATCATTAATACTGGGGGGAAAAAAATGAGTTTGAAATATTTCACTCAAGCCTTTGTTTGCTTTAATTCATTGGCTATCTTTTTAAATCATTTTGATATTAACATTTATGTAAACGAAACATATACAAGTACTAAAATATGATCATTTGTTCAAGTCAAAGTATATACAAAGATGCAACGGATCCTTTTTGTTTTTCCTTTATAAGTCCTTAAATTTTTAATGTATTTTTATAAACTCTCCAACAAGGCAAAGCTTTTCACTACAAAATACCAAATTCATTAAAACATTTTTAATTAAATGTTTAATAAAAGGACCAGCATGTAGATGTTGCTTGTAAACAGCTGCTGCACATGACTGAGATCAGTGAAGATATACAGCTAGATTTTTGTAGGAAATGTTTGTTGCTTTGACTCGCACTCTACATGTAGATACAATTAATGTGTCCACATGTAGAAGCAGTTTGAACGTACAGCTTTTCATAATTGAGTTCCTAATACATTCAGTGTGCTTTCTCATAGTTTCTGCAGTTACTCTGGTTTCTTCCCACAGTCCAGAAACATGAATGTTAGGTTAATTGGAGACTCTGGATTGCACTGAGAAATGAGTGTGTGCGTGTGCGTGCATGTGTGTGTGTCTGCGTTTGTTTGTAATACCTTGTGGGGACAATTTTCCTGACATATACTACATTGTGGGGACCAATTGCTCCTTTTGGGGACCGGAGCCTGGTCCCCACACGGGGAAACCCTGTTTTCGGGTCAGGGGTCAGAGTTAGGGCTAAGGTATGACTTGAGTTTTGGATAGGGTTAGGGTGAGGTATAATAGGGTTAGGGTTAGGAAAAGGGTAAAGGTAAGGTTTAGGCTGTAGAAATGAATGGAAGTCAATGGAAAGTCCCCACAAAGATAGCAACACAAACGTGTGTGTGTGTGTGTGTGTGTGTGTGTGTGTGTGTGTGTGTGTGTGTGTGTGTGTGGTTGGTTGTCATGGTTGTTTGTCCCTGTTCTGACCCTGTCTTGGACTGGCCAGTTGTCTCGCCCACTGACTGGCTCCTGTTTCCACCTCTCTGCTTTGTGGTCCTGAGCAGTGAATAAGTGATTGCTGAGTTTTGTAATAAAGTCACATCAAAACTACATAAACAAGACCATCAGATGTAGTGAGTGTTAAAAACCATTAAAAATAAATGTTCACACTCATAACAGATGATGCCTAAGCATTTCCACAACTGCATTTACAATGGCAGCGGCGTTATCCCAAGATCAGAGCTCATCAGTCTCAGTAGCAGTAAGTGAGAACCATTTGAACCAGCCCCTTTAGTTTTCTGTCCAAATGAAATGGTACTGTCATCCATCTGTGTACCCTCTGTAGTGGGATCACTTGCTTGTCACAGTACGTAATGTTCTACTTCTCTATATTACATGAGACTAGATCATAATTCAAATTAGCTTTCCGGGGGAAATCCACTTCAGTTATACAAAAGCCTTCCAACTAGGAACTAAAGTGCTTCAGTTTAATGGAAATGTTATCCTAAAAACATTGTTCTCATATTTTTTGAGGCCATAGATGGTTCACCTGTTTGTCTTGACAGATGTTTGTATTGACAAATCTACTGATTTCTTTTTGTTGACTGATGTTAAAGATGCTAAACTAATTGCTAAATTCATTTTTAAACTGAATATTCAAACTAGGGCAATACCGTTTAATATGTACTTGCAATAGTGACTCTTGTTTGATTGGCACCACGTGCAAAGCCCCGCCTTCTTTTATATTCACCTTATTTGGCTGAATAGAAATAAAAATGAAGTAATTATTTTTGAAGTTAAAGAGGAATGATCGAGATTGAGTTCACAGCTTTTGCTATTGCATCTAGAAACAACTGACCAGTCCCAAAATCTGGGAATAGTGATGGACTCGGACCTGAACCTTCAAAGATACATAAGGGCAATTGCAAACTCAGCCTTCCAGGATTAAAGGACTAATGTCCCAACAAAATCTTGAAAAACTCATCCATGGGTTTATCTTCAAAAAACAAGCCTTGAACAACAGACCTGAAAATACTTTTTGGTCTAAGTGGTGGTGTAAGGCATCTAAGTACTTAGGCAAACAGATCATGAGACAAGCAAACGTTTCTTGTTGCTAATGAGATTCAGTGTCCTGTCTGTTTACATGCCAGTGGATTTTGGTGATGTCTGTTTAGCTTGGAGCTATAGAGACATAATGGTCACAAACACCCATGGTGCTGCTTTTTATGCCAAGAGAAAGAGCATCTGTAAATTTTGTTTTTCACCTCGAAATGACTTTCCGAAGAAAGCAGCACTTAACTTTGCAGCCGGGAGATTTGGATTCCCCTCAGCAAGACCTGCCAGGAAGTAGCTTCTGTCTGCTGGGATTGTGAAGTGGGCCCTGGGTGGAATGAAGATAGCTAGCTGATTGTTCATTAGTTAGTTAGACACAGGGAGGGCTATACCGCAGAGGATTTCAGAACCGCTTTTTCAGTGTTATTATGAGTTTTTATTTTAGCACAGGTCGACTCTGTTGCTCAGCAGAAGCAAACTTTTAAAGTGTTGGCCAGTGATATTCATACATTTATAGTGCCACCTTCTCATAATTGTAACGTAGGCATTTGGTAGCATAAGGAGATTTTTGTGGCAGTTCAGAGAGCAAACATGACCACAGCAAACTCCAGTTTTGACCCACGCAGAAGAAAAGCGTCTGTTGCTTCTCTCTATCGCTTGAGTCCAGCCTCAGGCTACTCTGTCCCCCAGAGATTTAAAGAACTCTACTTCAAAGACAGATCCCTTCTCCTCATGTATCGAATACCCTCTTCCTCTTCCCCTGCAATAAACACAAGAACTTAAGGAATTAATTAGACACTGGATCAAACATGGGTTAGAAAATCCAGTGAGCAGAAAATGCTGGAGGGGCGTAGCTGGGGACCGTGCGTATAAAACTCGGGGCCTTGAAAATGCAATAAAAATGTTCTTGATACAGCTGTGTCAGGTAACAGATTTTTCAAATATTATGTACTCCTGCTCGTTTTATCCACTACATTTAATTTATAACATCAGGGTATCCCAATCAATGTCTTACACCTCGCGGCCTTGACATAACCAGTGTGATGTCTTCATCTATATGTACAGTGGAAATCAGAGCCTGTACGGATCATACTGATTTTCCCATCACTCTTATATTAGCCCGTGTGTCGATGGAGAAAACTGATTCATAGCTTCTACAGCGGGAAAACGGCTCTTGGCAACATGCGAGGGATGGATTGTATTGGAAATCCATGCGCACGCTGGTCTATAAACTCAAGTCTTTGTTATCTTTTAGTGCCATCCCCAGATAGGCAGGGTGCCTGGTATTTGCAGGAGGACAAGCAGGATTTCACAGTGTGTTCAGAAAACAGGATCTCATTGTTCAATCAACTGTAAAAACAGCGATATTGATTTGAGTAAGCAGGCTGTCCAAAGATGGGATATTAGTGACTCCACAACATATCAACCAATGATGTGTATCGATGGCTGAATTTTAGGGATGTTTAACAATAAATATGTACTGCGCCCTACTGAGGGAGCAGAATGGGGC